GGGGGGGGGGGAAGGGAGGGAGGCTGGAGTTATTTCTTAAAGAACCATGCCTCCTGCATCCTATATTCTTAGAGATTTTTCTTCCTCCAGTAAGTCTCTTTGTCCTATCATTTATATCTACTAAAAAAAAGGCTGCCTGGCTTCATCGATGTTCTATATTAAAATAGAGATGTTCACACACACACACACAGACATTTCATTTTCATCTTTTCTTTTTTTTTTTACCATTAGTATCAGATCAAATTATCAGCAAAAGTACATTCCTTCATAATAACAAAACAAATCATTTGACTACTTTAAAAGGTGTTTCACTGTGCACTGCTGCATGCTGGCTTCTGACCAAGCACTGCATTTTCTTTTATGGTTTAGCTAAGTAAGTGCACGTGTATAAAAAGAAATTCTAGTATTATAAAAGCCTTAGTCTGTCTGTCAATAACGCTTTATTCACACTCTGATTGGTTGTCTGAAACAGCCAATAAGAGGACTCCAAGAGAGTTCTGGACAGGAGGCAGTGGTGGAACACCGCTATGACAGTGGGGACAGAGCAGGGGGGGTGGCTGGCCTTGCACCCCACTAGCCCTGCTCCCTGGAGGCAGTGGCAATAGCAGGTGGAGTGGGCCCAGACCCCAAGTGGTGGCGGGGGGGAGGGGGCCCAGACCCAATCCGGGGGGGGGAGGGCGGGGGAAGAGGGAGGAGTGGGCCCAGGCCTGATGCAGCGGGGAATGGGGGGAGTGGGTCCAAACCCCAAGCAGAGGGGGTGGAAGATGGGGAACGGGCCCAGGTGTGGGGGTTGGACACAGGGCTCCATCGCCACCCTCTTCCCTCCAGCATTCTTGACAGGCAATTTGCTACTATAGAATATTGCCACAAATTGTGCATAACACATACAAAATACATACCAAATCATTTCTGCAACAATTTAGAAGAGAGTAAGATATGATAAAATTAGAACTCCCTTGAAATGAATAGCTAGCTGACCTGGATGATTGCTGATATTTAGTACACTTTTCTAGACTGAATAGGCTTCTATCAATTCAGCAGTTCTTGTAATTTCTGTAGAACAGAAAGTAGAGGTTACAGTATTTTAAGAGTTTAAGCTACAGAGAGAAAACTCCTAACCTTGATTTTGTTTGAACAGGAAATGAAGCAACAGGCATAGAAGTTATACGAGTAAACAGTAATGTCCCAAATATTCATTATTCATGAGCTTCATGTTTACAGCCACATAGAATTCAATGTAATCCTATTGTGCAAAAGTTACCTGACAAAGAAAATGCTGCAAAATAAATGTCTTTAATTCTGCTAGAGGAAAATGCATGTAAAATTATTTAGATTTTAATGTTCCTCCTACAAGGTGAGACATGCTATTAAATAACTTAACAAAAAGTTAGGCCTTTGGTTTTCTATTTTCCTTCCCAGTAACCCACGACCAGAGTATAAAAAGCCTTTTACCCTAGCTCTATGTCTGAGTATAAGGACTTCAAAGAGGGTGAGGACTTCAAATAGCAATACAGGCAAGAGTCAGTACATTTTAATGCTGAAGTGAACCAACTCTGGCCTGGCAGCAGGCAGAAAAACTGTTTAACACAAATGAGTCACATCATAGGCATATCTCCTCCTGCTCTGGTCTTATGCACAATGAAACTACATTGTATTTGGGCCTGAAGGGGTAATGTAGAGATAAATGGCAATGGGTGCTGCAAGAAAAAACAAAAAAAAATTCAAAGCTAAATAAATGGTGAGTCTTAAATGTGCGGGGGAAAAGACAATATTTTATAATCCCTGGAAAATGAATAGGCAAGACACCAGAAGTAGAAAGAAGATTACAAAAAAAAAAAAAAAAAAAAAAATGGTAATCATACCTAATAACTTCTTCCATGATTTGATGAGAGACTTTGCTAAAGATGTAACTTCTTCATCTGTACTTTGCTTGCGTATTGCATTCACTGACATTCCAATTCTTGTGGACTGCAACAAAGAAAACTACACATTACACTCCACAAAATGGAAACAATTTAAAATGGCAATAAAATGGTGAGGTGTATTTTGTAAAAATGCCATGTAAAATCTGTCCAAACACCCAGTCAGCTGAGTCCTTATGAGTCCAATGAAAAACAGGGTAAATTGCAGATCCTTACAGATTTTATACTCACAGGATAATCTACACATTTATACAAATGAATTTCAATACACTTTTCACTTAGCAGCCTAGGGGTGGAGGGCTATTAAACCATGGGACTTGAGCTCCTAAGTCACTTGGGGGAGATTTTCCACAAGTCCATAGAACTACTTACCTGAATCTTAATTAGGAAATATCTTAATTAAGACATTCAAACTAATATTATGCAACTCGCTCACTTTCATACAGCATTTTAAATGCTTGTGTTAAAGTTTATGCTCCCAAAGAACTTACTGTGAAACAACAGTAGAATTTGTTTTACAGAAAGCAGCTGGCAAGCATTTGTACCCAAGTAACTTCAACATTTTAAAAATTCTCATACATTGGGATGCATTTTAAAATCCCACCATAAAAAAACACCAATGGTTCAGATCCATAAATGTTATTAATATTGTGATGTTTTATCTTATGACAGCAGATGTTTCTCTGTAAATGTAAAATAAAATTAGTCTGCTGCTTTGAAGCTACCACTCAGTCAGTATCAAACATTTAAACTCAGTGTGCTACTGCCATCTACAGCTTCTGCTGGTTTATAAAAAGAATGGATCATAGATGGGGTGCAACTGAATCCAATCAAAGTAATTTGCTATTGCTTCTTTAAATACACTCCAGTTATTCAGGAGTCCTACTAATATAACAAGATGCTATTCTACTTTTCCCTGAATACTTGGGAACTCCAGGTAAAAAAAGGGAAGATTGGCAGCCCAGGAGATGGCTCCCAACACCAAAACACCAATGTGCATTTAAAAAAAAAATAGAAATCCAGGAAACTAACTCCTCACAGTTAAAGGAGACCCCCAGACTAGGTTGGATGCATCTTAGATGACAGCCATAGGAACAATGGTTACTTTACCATAGCACTATAAGTACAGCACATACCAGGAATATTTTTTTTTTAAATGAACATTTTTCAAAACTGTCTGACGTGAGTTTGTAATCTTTTTGATTGCAGACACCTCATTTTAAGTTGTATATAAGACTCTATACACGGAGCTGAAGCCTTTAACCTTATCATGAGAAAAAAGATAAATCTGCTCTGTAAAATGCTGTAAAGGAGTTATAGCTGACCATACATTTATGCAGCTTTTTCTGGCAAAAATTACCAAAGTTTTTTCTGTATATGGAATCTATCATTTGCAACTTTTCAGTGGGACACTTAGCCTGTCAAAGAGGAAATACAGGTGGAACATGGCTATAAATAGATAATTTCTTGACAAGTTTTCATCAAATAAAAGTAGACTAAAATCTTTTTTTCCCTGTAAGTGTGCTGTATCTGATAGGCATTTTGTAAACACTTGGGGGAAAGCAGAAAGACTAGACAACAGTACCCTGCATTGGAAAAGATCCTCCATCCGTGTAAAAACATGGATATTTGTAGTGGAATGGTCTTATGGAGATGTGAAAACAATTATCACTCAAACAGAAAGCTGCAAAATCTGTCCTGGGTTGAAAGGAAGGGGAAACATGAGGGAAGCCAGGGAAAATATGAAGAACTAATTTTTTTCTTAATGAATGAATTAAAATATCCCGAGGTCCAATTTGTGTTTTAATTTCAAGTACCTTGAGTAAAACACTTTTCCTCTGAAACTCCTTAGTACCTCCTCTATAGCACCTGCTGATAGAGGGAGAGCACAGGTCTCAACAGGCTCTTGTGGGAGAGGTCCCTGAACAAGAAAAGGGAGGAAGAAATTGGAAAGAGAAAGGGTCTTGAACTTAACATCACATCCACTGTATACTAACTCTAAAAAAAAAAAAAAAAAAAAAAAAAAAAAAAAAAATCGACCTGTCTACAGTGAATGAATACTGTTTGTCATCAAAAGTGATGCAGGTGTTCTCCAAATGCAAAAGGAAAATGGGGAGTAAGAATTAAAATGCAGTTCTTAGTTCCCAGTTATCAGAGTCCCTACCAGTTTTTTTCCCTACTACTATAGGGTAAACTGAAAACCTGCACTTATCTTTTACAGCCTTGCCCTCAGAATATTCAGAAACCATGAGTCAAGTAGCAAAAGGGTGAGATACACAAGTGCTCTGATGGGTGCTGTCAATTTGAATGCCATTATTTGAGTTGTATGCAGGCCATCCACCTCAAGTGGGAATATACAAAAGATGCTTGAAGAATGAAAAGCTTGGGGAAACACATTGAACAAAATGTTAGGTAAATAAGTATAGCTTACATAGAGCACTAGCAAAAGTTTTAAGTTATATTTTTCCTCTGTTATTTAAATGCTAAAAACTTAAAAAGGTATAATTTAATTAATTAAACTGTTCAGCCACCATCTTAACAAGATATTCTGAATCTAATTTTGAGGGGATAAAAATGGCATGTGACGAACTTGTTTCTTAATCCTTCTACTAGTTTGACAGGTTACCACAACCCTGAGGAAGACCATGCTTGTTCAAACGTGAACCAAGGAACCAAATGAGGAAGTATCCATTAAATGGCGACAAATAACCCCATTTCTTAGAGAAGAGAAACACTTGGTTCATGGAGCACATGACATAAGGTCTTTTGTTTGACTCTATCCTGCCAACTACTTCAGCTTTATATTCATCATATTCTACATTAACTTTGTCATGAGGTTCAAGAAAAAAAAAATTATAAAACTTCTTTGGCATACTGGTACTATTTAGATATGGCATTTTCTGGCACATCAATCTGAAGTTCAGCAGTACAGAGGCAAAAGGCGTTAACCTCAGTAGTACAGACCTGGGGTTTAAAATCAACATTTCTCTCTAACCACAGGTTGAAATCCCAACAGTCACCTCACTCCTTGATGGTCTGATTTGCAAAGATAGCAAACTATTATGCAATCAAAAGCAAAGCGTTTATCCTGCTGTTCTCGGGCAAAATGTTGCCTTCCTCTCTCTCACTTTTGTTCACGGTTCTATGCACCAGCTATCTACATGACTGCTTTTCAGCAATGAAAAAAATCAAAGGTTTTGTAAAGAATTGTTGAAGTTTTAACAGACTTTCATTCCACATGCAAAGTGTGTTATATAAAAAGGAAGATAATTACGTATGTTTCGCAATGTTAATTCAGTTACATTAAATACAAGTAGCCTTTTCAATTCCCCTTTCCTATTAAGTGCAACACATTTTTTACAAATGTGTACCACAGTATATTGCCTGTACAACACTACAAGACTTAACTCTACCACTGAACCCTGATGGTGCACTTCCTGGTTAATTTAATCTGTTCAGCCTTATTGCTGAATTGCCATTTGGGAAAATTCTGTTTGTCTCTCTCGCGCTCTCTCTCTCAAGTTCTCTAATTAAAGTGTCATAGCAGCAATTAGTTGAGAGGAGCAATATGTACTGTGATGTCATCAAGGAGACAGCCTCATTAGACTATAGCAATCATAGCTGTTTATTATGTTTCCCTGGTATTATATATCCAATTATTTGGGCTCAAAAACTTAGTCACTGCTAAACCACTATCGACAAACACTAAATACATGCCAAGTTTCAAAGTCCATCTACTTTTAACTTTACAAATAATATGTGGCTACTATTGTGTACAAATCTTTTCCAGTCTTGACATCCACAAAACAGCCAAAGAAGATTTCCCTTAAACTTGCAACTGCCAGAAATTAATTTTTCAGACAAAGCTGGTTTACCAAACTAATTCTGAAGTAAAAATGGAATTTTACCTGAAACAGCCTTCAACATTAAATATGGACTTTGCTAACAAGCACTAAAATTAGGGCAAAGCACAGCATTGTTACTTTTAAAATACTGTTTCTGCAAATGACAATATAAAGAGATTTTTACAAGATCTAGCAAATTCAAACATCAGATTTCCACCCCTCCCCGTTCTAATTTGTGATCCAATTAAAATTGTAATTATCTATCACATTATAGGGATGCAGGCACAGCTCTAAAAAAAGCAAAATTACTCTGCGATTACTTCATGGAGATGAAGAGTAACAAGGATTACTCTTAGGAGTAACAAGGATTAAGTTAGGATTCCTCACACCTACCTGTACAACTATATAAGACAGTACCGTTGGTTACACCTCCAGATCTAAAAGGGAGGTAGCATGCCATACAGGGTAGGGGACCACAGCATGTTAATCTCCTTTATCAGAAAAAGGGAACATAGGAGGGTTGTGCCTTTGGTGGATGTCCGAGGCATAAATTAATCTCCAAGATAATACAGTCTATAAAGTGACCCTTGTTCAGACTGTGCATAAATGCACAAGTTTTCCTACACCAGATTATTAAATTAAGACCAATTTTAAAAGCTTCTATATGTGCTTACCCCTGGCAAATACCAATTCTAAGATGGTTCTCCAAATTGAACCAGAAAACAATCATCTCCCTTATAATAACTGTTGTTCTGTTGGCTTGGCTGTCTAGATAGACACCCCTTACTGTAGTGCATGCTTATAACAAAACTAATAGGCACTGTTTCTCTTATTAAAAAAACAAACAAACAACCCACACACATTTAACACAAAAGCAACAAAAAAAACATACCTGTAACAACTCAAGAGTCATGGGAATATTCTTAAGCTCCTTTAATAAATCCAGAGCTCCAGCCTGCAAAGCATACATAGAAGTGTTATTCAAAATATAGTTTTCTTCCTCCACAATTAACTTCTAAAAAGTTTAGCAGCAAACAAATTCAGCTCCTACAACACAACTCCTTCCTTTTGCTAGAGGCACGAGTGTAATCATTCTGAAGTGTGTGCGCTCATTTCTAGACTCCAGCATCATACATTAGCCCTGTGATGGAGGAGGTACAACTTTTGGCACAAGAGCTGTTCTGTCCTGTATCACTTCATCCTTCATTTTTCCACTTCAATGTTTATTTGACTTACATCTCACCCTCTCCAAAAAGGCTCAGGGAGGCTTGTAATAAAAACAAGATAAATTATAAAAAAAACAGATGTTAAAGTAAAATAGTAAATAATATACCAATTCCTCAAATAACATCCCAGAACTTCACTTCATGCTACTTAATGCCATTTTGAGGTGGTTACAGCCATATTAATACCTTTGCTTTTGGGAAACAAATTTACAAACTCCTCATTTGATTCAACATTGTTCCCCTTTCATACTTGTGAAATACACTGTGCACCAATTGATTGTTCCCACCCCGGAAAGACTATATTTTGACTGCTACTTGGCATATAGGTGCATCTTCATCAAAAAAGCCAAACAAAAGGTCAGTTATTTCAAGTCAATTATTTCACCTGGTGTCACCCACAGGCTGAAGACATTACAGCAGCTAAGGAAAAAAGGAGGAAAAGGTGGGTCATCAGTAGGGA